TCCTATCCTTGACCTGGAAAAAGTTTGCAATTATTATGACTCAGATATAAATGAGCTCCTCAGTTTCACAGACTGCAAAAGGATTTTGCATTGAGATTACCTTCTGATACTGCTGCTCGACTGTTTCTTTTTTCAGGTTGTGAGACTCACTGCAGACAAATGGAAGGAAGCTACAGTCGTGAAAGTGCCAGACTACTTACAACATACACAACATTGAAGACTGGCATACAACGAAATTGCAATTTAAGCTATGGTCGTTTTGAAGCTTGTGTAATTGCCAGTTCAAGTTAATTAAGCCATTCAGGAGATTAAATAATTTTTCATTTTCAATTCAGAAAGATTATGTTCTTCACATTAGATATACCAAAGTGAAACTATTCATGAAAGATTCCAATAACACAAGCTGTTTCGACAAAAGAACAAGTTATTCTTCATAACTTAAGAGACTATTACCATTACAGGGAAAAATATGTATATGAAGCGGAACTCTGAAGTGCAATTGTTTGACAAGAACTCATTTCAGAAATATCAATATGCTTAAAAAATCAACCACCAAGTCATCAAAAACCCACTGAAGTCATTTAACAAAACCTTCTTTTGGATATGCAATCTCTAGTAGAACTTAAATTATCGTCAAGAACCCAATTCGATCAAAACTCATTTCAGAAATATCAATATGCTTAAAAAATCAACCACCAAGTCATCAAAAACCCACTGAAGTCATTTAACAAAACCTTCTTTTGGATATGCAATCTCTAGTAGAACTTAAATTATCGTCAAGAATCCAATTCGATCAATTGGATTGAGCATTTCGGCGTGTGTGTTATATAGGAACAAAAGAATCCACAATGCAACAACAGAGAAAGCATACCTATCCTCCAGCCAAGCAACACTATATAAATCTCCCAAGCATGTTGAGTACTCTGGAGGAGGCGGAGGATCCATTCCCGGACAATATGTTCCCCAACTACTCTCGTCTGCACTTGACGCCGTTGTCACGTATATGTTCAGATCTTCAGGCAGCAAGCCTTCAAATACACTCCCACTCTCACATGCTTCAACATATATGACCTAAATAATACATGATGGATCCAACTGTTACGGACCAGCTCATTGCCAATTAGGAAAATGCCAAACATCGAGAAAAACCACTCACCATCTCTTTGTAGGTTCCGGATGCATGCTTCTTTCTCAAAACATCGACAAAATCCTTCCCGTAAAGGTATGGCGTACTCGGCATCCCTGAAAAGTAATAAGGCTTTATTGGAATTTCAAAAGTATAAGTCGACATGATATATTACTGAAGACATGAAATGGGTAAAAATTACACAGTGCAGGCTTCCTCTTGATCAACTTACCAAGCACTCCAGGACCCCCATGATCAGAGTAATATATAAAGATTCTATCATTAGGTTTACTGTCGACAACCTTTCCACTTCCTCCTTTCACAGCGTTCTTGTCGCCGAGGATCACAGCAAAAAAATTCTCCACCGTAATATCATCACCAGTATAGTCCTAAACATCAATGTAATTTAATTCTCTCTCTATACATATATATACATGAATTACCAATCACTTCAAACTGAAATAAGAAGAAATTGAACAAGATAACTTGGTAGCTATGTAATATTATTAGTATAGCAGAGGAATGCCAAAATAAAATATTTCTAATTAATTCATGTGAAAAGTGTTGACGATAAATATCACATTGAATAAAGATGAAAATACAAACTAACTTATAAGGATACTTACAAGGTTTTGAGCTACCCATCTTAAAAAAGGTTAAATTTTTAAGAGAGAATTCAAGTCTTAATAAAAAGTTCTATTCGTACTATACGACTTCCATTAAAAAAATCCCGTAAAAATCCCTTTTATTGGAACCATCTCAGCATTTTCAATTAGTCTGTCGCAAGGCCTTCAAAATATATTGTTGACTGCTCTTTACGTTCAACAGGACATCAGGAAAGATGATTACTTATGGAAGGACTTCTCCATCCACAAATTTACATATTGTAACCTTGGCTCGATTTGAACATTATCTTGGTTTGTTCATTACCACATCACTAGATACCCGTGGCGACAATAGCCTTTTATCCCCGACAATAATTGTTTTATCTGTCTTTACTTGGTTTAAAGTGAAAACATTGAAACTTCGATTGCTTTGAAAACTAAACTACCGGAAAATAGAAAGCAAGCAAATTTTAACTATTAAAACTTAATGACTTCAAATGCATGTTCACTCGAGATCTCTATTGTCACTCATGTACTAACCAGCGCGTATAATCCTCGGATGCTCCACATGTTTGACCAACAGTAACATCAGATTTAATATGAGTAGGCTAATATTTTTGTTGATTCAGATTGCCGAATGAATTCACACGAATTCTAAAGAAAACAACTCTACAGACTATTTAGCCTGGTTGAGCCTAAGAATTTTCCTTCTCCTCACTTTTGAGTGAAAGAGCTTCATCGCTTAACAGTAGAAATTAAATCAATTTGACCATTCTGTTAACCTCACACCATTATAGTATGGCTTTTTTCTAAATGCAAAATCCATCTCAAAACTAAAAAAACAATAACATAAGCATGGTAACTGACTATTACACCAACATCCATCTCATTCCTTCCAAAAATTACAGAGTTTCTCTATAAATATCTCTATTTTATATCAATTTGTTACTACTGATAAGAATGCTGCTAATGATATGATGATACTTTACCTTTGGCACTCCGGCATAGACGTCACCGCCTTCGGGATGGTTGATTATTACGCCTTTTCGTGGGTTCATTTCGTTATCTGCTATGTCATCATACATGAAAACTACTATGTTCTCATCTTTCAAGCCTCCCCTTTTCAAGATTTGATATGCATGACAAACATCCGCCTACATAAATCCATTATTAAATTAAATCGAATTAATAAAACCACAATTAAAAAGGAAACAAGAAAGGGGACAAAATTAATGGACAAGTACAATAAATTAATCGTTATTTTCCTCTAATATACCCTATTTCGTTCAAAAGTTGCTTGAAAAACATGGAAAAGAACAGAAACACTCAAGACCTAAGTATTATATGTTAAGAAATTTCACCTGATGGCGGTAATTGCCATACCCACTGGAACCTGCTATAAGAACTGCCCATCTTGTACCATTTTTTTCAGTTCCACGGTGCTCCACCGGCGACCGGATTATGGGGTCCCAAGGGGTTCGCCAGCCGCCTCTAGCTTCACAAGACGGTGGCGCCACCAGAATCGACACCAAAGTCACGCAAAACACAAACCCATAAAAACCCATCTATTATAAGCAGCACCACAATATACACACAAAGAGGATAAAGAGTTGAATCAAGAGAGGGAGAAGTGAGGAGAGCAGAGAAAAAAGGTAAACCAGCTTTATAGAACTGAGCCCCTACATTCGTATATGTGTACTTCATACACCTACATTTAGAGAGAGAGAGAGAGAGCCATGCAAAACAGGAGAGTGACAACTGTGAAATGGTGGGTCCATAACTCCAGCATGATCAACAGGTGGAACTCCATAGTTTGACCTTTTTGGGTTTTATCTACAAATTATTGATAAGTCCTTGGTTCAGATAAAAATAAAATAAATAAAAAAAATTAATTAATTAAAATTAAAAACTAATTTTAATTGCATATTTTTTTTATGATATTTGACTTTTTTAATCCAAATTTACTAAAAATTCGATTTCTATATAAACCAAACAAGGGTTACGTGTTTGTTCAATAAACGCATACTAAAACGTAATTAAATTTTAATTTTGACACCCATGACCCATAATTTCACTCAACTTTTATATCAAATATTTCATCAACTTTCATTAAAAAATCTGCAAAAACTTTTATTAAAAGCATTATCGCTCGATCTTTAGCATGTTAAATTGATTTTGCTCATTTACCTTCTCTCATGCAATTATTTTAGGGTGAAAGTGAAACGGACAAGTGATCTACTTGTTATTAACGTGCTGCGCCGTTTCTTTTTCTATGAGAAATGATACGAGGATAGCCATCAAGAAAATGAAATGGGAAAAAGTGAAGAAAAAAATAAAGAATATGCCATGTTATAAACAGATTCTGGGTCTTGCTTTTGGTTCAAAAATCCACAACTTATTGCCAGAATCTGCCGGATTATACAAAGAAAAGTTTGTGAAAATTCAGTTTGAGAGAGAGAGAGAGAGAGAGAGAGAGAGCACATTTTTGTGCAGTCCACACGTTCAAGTAAACGTGTCTATCCGACCAAATTGCTTTATAGTTTTCCTCTCTAGGAATCCGTTTAAAATCTAGAACGACCATATGGGCTTGTCTGCGTTGGACCTTGCACTTTTCTACACGGATCAGCCCAACCCAACAAAAACTGTGACAAAAAGCCCATAAGCAGCCCACACAAGTAACTTTTATATAAACTTGTTCCTGAGATGCGCAAAAGTAACTTTTAAGCCAATATCCTCGCAGTTAACGTACACAAAATTTTAGTTTTCTCTAGCTCTACAAGTGCAATATGGTTCCTCTTCTAATAAAACATTCATCATCCTCGTCTGCTAGAACCAGAAAACTTTTACATGCCAACAAGAAAACTTGCCGTAAATCGGAATGCATGCCATTGCTCTTCATCTTTTAAATTCACTATCTGATAGGAAATTTCCAACTAACTTGAAAAGGTAAGATTCAGTGCTTCACAAAACAATAGTATCAGTATTTTCCTCTCCACGAATACCACTTCAGTTTCAACTGGAACCACAAAGGAGGAGTCCCTAAAATTCCTCGTTTCAACCTCGGATCAAACACGTCAAACTGAACACGACTTAATGTGTCCAGAATAACTTCAGCAGTCACAGCCGGCAACAGCACTGGACGAGCTTCAGTTGGAGCTGTTCCACTTAATTCCCGAGCTTTCTGCAAATGAGCATTAGCTACGGACGCCATTTCAAATACTGCATTGCATAGACTCTCACGAGAATCCACACGAATTTCCCGCTGTCCACCATGATTTACCAACAACCCATGTTTTTCTGCCACCTCAATAGGTATGTAAGGAAAATGACAGTTTTTGCTAGCATGGTATGATAGAGACTTGAGGAGCAATAAGAGGCCACTGGCCTTGCCAATATGCAACGCAGCATGATCTGCTACGGTAGATGTAATACCACCTGACTGAAGTGTCGAGTACAGGATAGTCGACGCAGTGTCCTCAGCATAACGTTCCAACTCTTCCAAAGTTTCAGGAATGTCATTAACCTCTCTATTGGCATCATTAATTCGAGCCTCTTGTTAACTTTGTGTTCAGTTATTACAGATGCAAGTGCCCGAGTTACAGGATGCTCGATTAATTTATTCGAAAATATCTGGTCAATTGCTTCTTTCCACCATAGAAGGCGCATAAGACCTATTTTAGGATTGGAAGCAACATCCATAGCTCTGGACGTTTCAACATTAAAAGCACGGAGTGCAAAAGCAGCCTTCCTCATGTTGGGCGGAAGTTCAAGAAGGCAAAGATAGTGATGGTAGTCATAATTTCGTACTTGCTGTACGCAGTAGGAGAAGGCCGTTCGCAGGCCACTAGACGTGGAAGCACTGATCATCAAATTTTTATGTATTTCCACCCTGCAGCCAGTAAAAATTAAGCACATTGTAGAAGTTGAGCAAGAAGAAAAATTGTGGCATATGCACGTTTACTCCTGAATATATGCACTCTGAAAAATCAAGCCACGGATACCTATAAAGAGTACTCTATTATTGCTACAAATGATGCTTCATAATACCTCTTCAGTGTGTAGGAAGGATGCTACTTCAAGAACTAAAAGACTGAGAGTTTCTAAATGACAAATACAAGAAACAACAACAAACTAAACCTTATTCCCAGTAAATTCAGGTCGGCTAAATGAATTATTCTGCACCATTCTACATTTTTCATTGCTAAATCTACTAAGATATCTATCCATACAAACTAAAACAGGCTATAATGTTAATTTAGGTCCACTCCATCCTCTTCTAATTTAATCTACTGAAACTGTGTCCACCATATAAAAGAGAGCCTCTATAAAGCGATAAATAATTACATTAATTCTATTGATTCTACTTCTGCTCATGAATTGTAATGAAGTTCTCAAAATGTTTGATTTCACTAGAAAAGATTCCAGAATCTGAACTCATGAATTACAGAAAGTTTCAATATGCATTGTCAAGACTATACTTTTTGTTAGTATCAATTATTACATAAATCACCTAGTGCAGATGTCTGTCCATTTTCTTTCACTTTCCCATACTATGAAAAAATTCCCGCACAAAAGAAAAAGATTAAATTTGCCTAAAACATGACAAGTTACAAAGTATCAATAATACTGAAAATTTTGTTGAAATCGTGGAAATGTCAGTAATTTGACGATAATAAGCATGTTAATAACTCAAGCAAATTATTTATCATCATTGACTTTTGGATCCAAACACTTCTAAAATGATAAGATAAAAGATTCCTATTTCTTCTTACTTACAATCCCTAGCATGATCTAGATCATAATTTAATTCATCAACAATGAACAAATCTTGTCTTGTATTCTAAAAATAACAAATATTGTTAATTTACACAGTGATTCATATAGCTGGTTCTTCACTATCCAATTTGGCATTCCATCTGTGCTCCTAACAACGCCCAAATGCATTGAAATTTCTAGTAATTGAACTTTGGACAAGTAAATAGAGCAGGAAATGAGCAAAAACCGAGAAATTAACACAGACGACCAACAACTCTATAGCAAAATAGAGTAAAAATACGATCAAATACCACATGTTCACATTTTGATGCAATATTTCACATTTCCCAATTCCTGTTTCTGAAAACCCACAAAAGTTTATAAATAAGAGCTAGCTTACTGCCGTTTGGAAAACCCAGAAGTAAAAATCGATCAGAAAATCAATGCTAGATATACAAACTCAGAAAAGAAATTCACGTGGAATTTATGCCCATGCGATTGGTTTCATAAATTAAGAGAGAGAGAAAAATTGCCTGATCTTGAACAGCGGCGGAGAACCTGATAAAGAGAGCCGAGCTCAATGAACGAAGGATTTTCTGGTTCTTCTGGTTTGATTTTAAACAGCAAAGGCGCTTTAGGATGCGTTTGGGGTGGTGTGGCGTCGGCGAGGGGTGATATTCGCTGAGTCAAATGTTTCACTATCAACAGAACTTGAGGTTTTATATCATGACTCACTAAACTTTCAAACTATTGAATTTTCATCCGTTATCGTCCATTACTCACTGGATCAGATTTGTTGATTGACATGTCTGCACGACAGACGAAAAACCTAGCTGGCAGGTTAAATTTCGTAGGGAAAATAATGAGCAAATTGACCGGTTCCATCCCACACTACCAAACTCAAGTGAGGTCCAACCCAAAATCAATTGACAATGGGTAGAGTAGCCAACTTGGATTATACTGTGAATTTCTTTTTTTCTCTCAACCGATGTGAGACTTCTTATTTGCTCCCAACAATCCTCCTCTCAAAAGGACCACATCATTGTGGTCTCCCCTCAA